TTTCTCACAATACTGTTCTGTAGTGTACTTTTCTGCTCAGAAAGTGATTTACAAGCAGAAGATTTATGCTGGTTGTGATTATTACATGAAAACGTGTCAACAGTCACCGCCGAGCTGCGGTCTACGTCTTTGAATTGGGGGCAGGATCCCATTGATCCCCTGCAAACTGCATTGGAAGTTGCGTGTAATTTTGTGTGCCTAGGGCGAATGCTCACTGTTGTGAGAGAGGCGAATCATTTTGTTCGACCAAACTGACGGAGAAAAAGGCAGAAGTTCTGCTTAGTAATTCATCTATTTCAGTGAAGACTACTGTAGTTTAGGACCTAATAATGGTGGAATGCAAAGCAGTTTATGCTTTCAAACCAAAAGAGCCAGATGAATTGGAATTTAATCAAGGAGACACATTGTTTGTGAAGGTAGATTTTGCACCTGCAACAGTTCTTTCATTGTATTGACTATTGTGTATCAAAAGAATGAAAGATGTTAGGAGAATTGAGAATGTAACATCATTTATGTAAATGTTATGGTTAGTGATAGGGTTATAATGAATAATACTGAAGCTTTGTTCATTATTATTTATTATAACCCTATCAGTATCACTAACCCTAGCGGGATACTGTAAATTGTAGGTGGCTCTCCCTAAACTCAAAAGGAAATCTTTCATAGTACACTACTAGATCCTTTTGATTTCAAGACAAGTAATTCATTCAAATGTCATCAATCAAGCATGATATTCTGTGCTAAATTGGGTTTTGCTGGTGGATTGGGGGGGGGGGGGGGTGTGGTGTGGTGGGAGGAAGAGGAGCAATCCCTGTGTTCTTGTAATCTAGATGTTAATAAATAATTTGTAGTAAAAGCCACTGAATGGAAATAAATCTCTTGTTTGGAGTCAGATGGGTGTTACTCGTACATGTACGCCATACCATATCCATAACGGTATTGTAACATGATCCATGATAGGCTAGCCCCCGTCTGGCTCTGACTGAACAGATGAAACGTAGACTTGTATCCTACTTATAAATGCTTTACATCTACATGTACATTGTACATTGCACTTGGTTAATGCCAATGCCAATAAACGATAATGATCTGAATATGAAAATTATTAGCATTAGCAATTAATGATTACAGGCATCGTATACATCTAGTTTCTTTGCCTTGTTATTTGAATATCGTCCCAGCTGTCAATCAGCTTTGCTATATAGCTATTGAACTGACAACTGAGTAAATAACACTATCTTGAGCAAATATAAACAGTCGGTCGTCTACTTCCCACTTGGTATTAAACGTTGGTGGTTATGCACCTTTCTTATATATTACATGTTCTTGATAAGTTTCAAAGTAGATCTACTAATGATTGCCTAACATAGCAACAAAGCCAACAATAGACCTCTTTCTTGAAGAAGGGTTTTCTTTGGCAAAGCAAAAGCTTGCTAGAAGTTTGCCAGACATAGCAACAGATAATGTAACTTATTAGCAAAGTGGGTTCCTTCCATAAAGAGATGCTGTTAATACCTGTTATTCATACCCAATGAAATGGCCAAGGGAGATAAACATGCATGAATAGTCAATAGACTATTTTCCTAATGTAGTCAGATATACCTTTGTGAGGTGTCTCAATGGACCTGTTCACTCTTCACTTTCCACACATTAGTTGTTGCTATGAAGCCTCTGGCAAGCTTTTCAGTTGTCAAAAGAAAATTAAGTTCTAAAAGTATCCATCAAATTTTGGTCCAGGGTTGATTGCAGTTGAGGAATAGGATTGTATACTACATTTTTATCCTAGAGACCAATAATTTGATGCACAGCTTTGTGCAGATAATAATAAGCAATAAACATTGTTTTTCTATTAAACATAAAAGATCATGATTGTCAGAATACCACCCTTGTGTACTAATGTACGTATATTATTCTTGATGAAAGTTTTCTGAATTTAAAGCTTGCCAGAGGCTTTTGAGACATATCAACTAATGAAGATGTTTGCAAAGTGGATTTCATCTATAGAGAAACCATCAATTATGCATACATGTAGGAGTCGAATTAAATAGTTGAATCAGGTTCTTAATAGTACATGTAGTTTAGAGAAACATGCATGAATTGAATAACATTACCAAACACGTTTATTGCATACATGTACATACAGTACATGTACAGGTACAGTAGATGTAATAAAATGTATTTGTGGGTCTGTATGCAGTCCATGATTTAGTATCACTATGCTGGTACAAACTGTAGGCCTACCGGTACATGTGTTGCTTGATAATTGCTTCACCTTGAAAAATCCATCAAAACTATTAAAATACAATACACCAGTTTACGGTTATGGGCCCCATTTTAATTTATGAGTAAACAAACCATTGACCTCTAGAGGTCAGTGGTTTACACCGTATTTAAGATAGCGCCCATGCAAATATGATGTGAGCGCACAGCGCAGGCAGTGATGTCATCAATGTTTTCAAATGCGCATGTATAGTTGCGTCACTGCCTGCGCTGTGCGCTCACATCATATTTGCATGGACGCCGTCTTAATTTACGCGTAAGCCACAAAATGCCCATGTCTTCGCATGCGCACTGTTGCAACCATAAACTGGTGAATTATGCTTGTACATGTATATGCTGTACAGTGTACAGTACATGTTTACTTGCAGAAATCTAAGGAAACGGGTCTGAACATGCACCTGTGCATGCATATACATGTATGTACATGTACATGCATACATATTGTTTATATAGCACGTTCCATAAACATGCTCAAATCGCTTTACATTTCTAAATAGAATAGAATAATTATTTTGCTCTCCAAGCGCATCGCATAAGAAATCAAACTTGAGCCTTACAGTAACTGTATTTCTTTCTGTTCTTGAACACAGGGTCCAGAGCAAGATGCCGCTGGTACAGGATGGCTGAGAGCAAAGCTTCATGGTAGAGAGGGGCTTGTGCCTGCAAATTATCTTACACAGCTACCGTAAGTCCATCTTATTGACAGCTTGGGTACAGATTGACCTACTACATTTACATGATAAGTTGTTTTTTTTCCTATATAAATACTATCCTACAGTACAATCTAAGTCTTCTTCATCTATGTGTTTGGATTTTCATAGTGGCCTAAAACTCTGCATCGTTTTTTCCACAGTATTACTATTCCTGGAAAAATGTTTTTATTTCAGTATTAGATTTACATTTTGCCCCATAAATGTAGCTTAGAGCCGGAAGGACGATAACTCTGTGTTTAGTGCCCCCATAGCCCCTCTGGATCCAAACAAATATCAGACAATTTTTAACATTCATTTCCGCCCCCCCCCCCCCCTTTTTTTGGGGGGGGGGGGGGGGTGTGATGGGGTTGGGCACTTTCATGCTATTTTGGAGTAGAAAGAGGACTGCTAAACAGGCAAATCTCTCCACAACTACTTGTACACACATGTGTTTTATGTTTTATTTATGTGCTGGTATATTGACTTTTTATTGAGTGTTTGTGCCAATCCTCAAATACTGAATGCATTCTACAGTTCTACACCAACTGTACATACTCCTTACATTAGGGAAGGAGATTGGTCAGTACTCAGTACAGACTGCAGTACAGTCTTTATCCTGTAGTGTGTATAGAATATTTTATTGGATGTACTTTGCACAGTAGGCCCAGATCCAATATCATGGATTTATTCTTCAATTTTTCAGTCAATTGAAGCGAAGACAGATGCATTTTCCTTGTAGATAAAGCCTGGCCATAATTAGTTCTTTGAATATCAATTTACAATTTTGAATTCTAACATCATCTTCTGTCTGTGATTCTGTTTATTGTGTGGCTGGCGAGTGGGCAAAAGACACCTGGATATGAAGCACTTAACTCATATTTGAGGGTACATATATTACAATACAAAAGCAGCAGTGTGCAGCAATATGTACCTGTATTTATTTTCAATTGTCCTATTTTTAGCCTTCATTGTACTAGATTTCTGATCTTTGAAATGCAATCACACTTTTAAATCAGCAAGGACCAATAACACATTACATAATATATAAAGTCAAATCTGCATTAACGCTTTTTTAATTTCCATTAAATATAGTTTTCATTGAAACATGTACAGTACTAAAGGGACCTGTACATGAATAGTGTCTGCCTATAGAGAGAGAGTCTACTTTTCTTGTCTCCCTTGAGCAGTCTGTACAGTGTATACAGGTTTCACTGTAATTTGTTTAGCCAATTTCACTCTATACTTACATGTACAGTGTATTATTAAAGGTAAAGACCAGTATTGGAAACGCCCCAATTTCAAAAAATTAAAAATGGAAGCTCTCATTACCAATCATGTGAAAGAATATGTTTTGACTAATACATGATGATAAAAAATTTGCCGGGAAACCGCCTACTAATTCATATATTTGGTAAATTTGTTTCTCTCATGGTCTGTGAGAGATATATAGGGTAGTCCCATATACATCTTTCTGTGTATAGTGCTTGTAACTTAACGAAGAATGGGCCAAATTTCTCATCATTTTGATGATTCCAGAACCTTGCAGATGCTAGATGCTAGATGATCAACCTTTTCTGATCGATTCCACAACGTTTCTTTCACAATGCAATCGCATGACCATAACTGGTCTTTACCTTTAAACATGTACAGTATAGGCCTACAATGTAGATGAAGAAATTAGAGATCATTTTCAGTTAATCACTCAAGTTATATGCTTACCGTAGAGCCCCAAAGCTCTAGACCAACTATTTTTAATACTGGGATGTTACTTCCATAGGCAAGAGGCCTTGGTTGATTTATGTAGAATCTTGATATTTTTGTCTGGGGATCGATGAGGCCTGTCTGAACCCATCCTAAGCCCTTGGGTTCCTGAACTACATTATGTACAAATAAATTTATAGCAACTGTAAAATGCAACATTTGGAATTTGGACAGAGATGCAGTAAAATACACTTGAATATAAGAAATGATAATATGAATTGAAACTGTTACGTTAAGTGTATAACCTACTGTAAATGTATATTTCTTTCAGGCCTGCATACATGTAGGTAGTAATAACTATTCTAAGAAAGTACATGTACAGTACAGTACATGTATACTTTTACAGAGAAACAAGATGCATAGTGTAAACCCTTCAAATGCTAAGCTAAAATAGTCCGAGATCATTCACAATTACAAAGACAAAACGCTGTCTCCAATCATTTGCTTTATGAATCAGTAAGAGACGAAACGAAAAAACTGAAAACATTTATTTGATACACATACAATGTATGTACATGTATATTGCATTTAATTCCGAGAACTAGAGACCCATTAGTTGTATAGGCTACATCATTATTAGAAAGCTTCTGCGTAATTTGAATAGATCTGAAAGCTCCCTTGTGATCAAGCAAATTATTCATCCCCGAGATGGATCCCGACCCCCATGCCCTTTCGGTCTTGATCTCGTATTAGAAGACACCGAATGCAATCATGATAGCTCATTTAGGTCCTACATGTACATTACGTTGTGTTGAGCGCCACTGTGCCATGACATTTGCCAGTGGCAGCTGTGTTTGTGCAGCATTGCATGTGTACATGTGCGATGCTGTCCGCCTGTCTGTCACATAATGTAGATTGGTGTAGTCTGTGTGGAGGTTGGAACAGACCCATTTGCGTATTTATTGCATCTTCACAAGAAAAGATGGTGTTCGCTCCTCTTATCTGTATGTGGTAATCTATTTTGTTGGGAGAGGATGGAGGGGGGGGGGGGTGGGAGTTCTCTTTCAGCTTTATTTTGTCAAAGATACGGGTTAGGGTATTATCAATAGGGTTGCATTTGGATTATAGGTACCCGGTATACCGTATTGGTAAATATTAGGGTAAGGGTTATGCTTAGTTGTGGATCCAGGATTGAAGTTATGAATTCGGAGAGTGTAGAAAATTGAGCATTGAAGCAGAGCAATTGTAGTAGGAGTAGTACAATCAGATGGGGGAGGGTTTCTTTTAGGGGTCTTTTCTCATATGTACAGTACATTGTATCTACTAATAGTAATACCGCACTAAAAAATCACAGGAAAAATCTAAAATATGTGGTTAATTTTCATATGGCAAACTTTCTTAAAGATGGACAAACTGTACATGTGTACATGTATGTATGTACTATACAATATAGTTATATGGCCAGTACAGCAGTAGTAGTAGTACATGTATAAGTAGTTTGAGGATAAGATCTTTCTTTTTCTTCAAATCATTATTCATCAGTTTCTGTCACTTGTCTGTGTTCAAGTTTACATACATGTATGTCAAGGTGACCCGTAGAGTTTTCCTTTAAAGACTGTCTGCACTAATTTGGCATGGGGGATGAGACCTCCCTGCAAGGTCACTGACAGGTGGCTATCCCATCAACTCATCTCTCAATTAACATCAGAAAAAGAGGATCATGGGGACCAACGGGCACCGCTGAGGCATTTTTTGCTATATAGAGGGCGCAAGTAGCTATGTGCAGTGGGGCTTTAAAGGTACTATGTCCCTTTTGCAGCCAACCTCAAATGCTGTAGAACTTTGCAGGAATTATGAATATGTCATGTATGTCCTATCTGTGAAGTTTAAATGTTAGCAGTGTCCTCATATTCAAATTATGCAAGGAAACCCGTTTACTTGCTAGACTTAACTGTCAGACACTATTGAGTGACTGACTGGCTTTTTTTTCTTCTTTGGTAATAACATACATGTACATGAAAAGAATTTTAAGGGTACATGAGCACTTGTCTACATCAATAACCCACTTCTTGTGATGGCCAAGATTAAACTGATTGAATCTTTGCGCAGCATAAAACGTATGACCATTCGGTACAATTGTCTGAAAATCAAGACTATTACTTTTGGGCTCTATAGCCCTAAAGTCGATTTGACAACTAATAGTCGTTATTTTCCCACTTGAAGACATTTTCAAGCCCCAACTTTTTTAGGGAAGTTCTAAATTAGTATTATCTTTCAAATGCAGTTGGAATTTAACTTTTTCATTTTTTTGGCCTGCAAATGGGACATAGTACCTTTAAAGAGTAGGAAAATATTAGCAAAGGTTCTGAGCATGAAGACTAAGGTATCAGGGCTTAATGTACTTCCTACTGAGGTTGTATGAAGGAAGTGACAGGAGGATAGCCATCACTACCAATGACTCATTATTTACAACCTGTGTAGTACTGGTCTTACAAGCTCATCACACAGCATCATTCACATCTACATGTACATGAGGGGTACATATGTAATGAGCTTCAAGAAAATTCAAATCCCACATTGTTTTTGATCTAGATTGCAACATGGACATGTAACATACATTTCATACATAACATGTCTGAGGCAAGCTGGAAAAGTGATTTAGGTGTTGGCTTACATGTATTACAGGTTTCAATTGAAATACAAACATGTAATAAACTAATAGCCCTAGATATGGTCTAATGTATTTATTTAGTAGTCTCTATTGATGGTGGTCTTTCAAAAACAGGTGCTCAATTAATAATGATAAAGGTGAAAGCATATACCCCCGTAGTATTCAATATTTGTGTAGTGCATGTTACATTGTGATATACAGTGTACATTGTAATGCCTGTAATGATAGTAATAATGGTGATGATTACCATGATGAATAATGATATTAGTGATATCAACAATGATGATGATAATGATAACAACATCAACAACAACAACAATACCATCATTATAAGAACATTGTTCATTTGATAATAATGATGATACCGGTAATAATATTCCTTTTTGTTGGTAAAAGAAAGTAAACACTCTCTGTATTCATTAAATAGTGAATTCATATTCAACCCTTTTCATAATCAAGTTCACAATCACATTTATGCAATAATCAGCTTTGAAAACAATCCATCTTGTAGCATGGCCAGATTAGTCAATACTTCCCATCATCTTGATGGTGTGCTAGCTGCCTCCATGCTACATGTATACCTCGATGCTTTACCTCGATGCTTTACCTCGATCTCCCCAGTCAAGTCTGGAATCCTCTCACTTGTGTGATTCGATCATCGCTGCACTTTAAATGTCATCGTTATAGACCCGAAGGGGTTTGTCGATAGCTCTCTGATCCATCGTGACCCGCTTGAAGATGGTGTCTGAGGCTGTGCGACTAAACAGAAGCTTTCGGGAAACCATCTTTAATCTTTAATTCCATAATGAATATGTTTAACCTTTCAAGCGTCAGACGTGATATTAACCCCTTCGTGCCTCTGTGATTTGAACAATTATTCTAAACAAACTTTCAAGAGTAAAAATAGGGGCCTTAAATTTTTGTTTGATTCTTTTTTTAATATCCTTTGCGAGCAACCTTCATTGTGTTAATATAATGTGTACCTGACTGCCTGTTATTAAACATTTCAGGACAAAAGAAATAGGCAATTTTATTCAAATATAAAGCAAAACGTTCATAATTATGGAGAGCTAAATGGTGTTCTGAAGACTGCTAAAACAGATACATTTTGCAGTATTTGAATTGGCTGTTTTCTTAATGTAACCAAATTTTGTATAGCCTTTGTGAAGCATCTAAATTTGAATTATTTCATTATTTCAATTGCTTGCCCTACTCAGCAACACGTTGTAGTGTATGCAATTCGCATTCTGACAATTGAAATACGATTATTTGTATCAGGTGAATGAAATAATTCATATCGAGGAAAATGGCCAATTGCAAAATGTCACTAATGAATTATACATTTTGTGATATGAAACTTTCACAAATCTATAAGTGGTAATGTAACCAAGAAAAGAGTATACAAAAATCATTAACAATTTAAAAGCATGTTACTGAAATACATGTAAGAAGATTTTTAAAGCATATCAGTACTAGTTTACAGGAGGGATTAGACCATCCTGCAAGGTCACTGGACAGGTGGTTATCTCATCAACTCAGCTCTCAGTTCATATAAGAAAAAGAGGATCATGGGGGACCAATGGTCACCGATTAGGCATTGTTTAATATAGAGAGGGCGCAAGTAGCTACTTAAAAAGAGCTTGTGCTGGTGTATATGTATGCTGACCTGCCTGGCCCGCCAAATGTACACATACACATTACAGTGTAGGACTGTACAAGCACATTGGGGAAGGTCACGAGCAATTTGGGAATGAATAATTTACCTTCAGACGCCCCTTCCATATAACTCTAAGCTACATGTAGTCAGTAATTAAACTCCTTTCGTTGAAAGTCCTTAAGAAGGGCCCCCACATCTTCATTACAATTTGATTATCTCATTGAGTGATTGAATGCGGCCTTTATCGATTTGAAAGCAACTGAGGTACACTGTGTAATGTCATTATGCAGAGGCAAAAGGAAGCAAGTGACGTCATGAATTTCATAGAAACTAGAAAAGGTGTGAAAAATGCTTGTAAAAAAACAACTATGTAATGAATTAAAGAAGAGCTAATGATGAAACTCCAGTTCATATTTTACTGAGTAGAGGAAGGGAAATATACTCTTGCTCTATATAGTCTGCAGATGAAATTAAGTTTAGAGGAGTCTAGAGGAGTGATATACCGGTGAGACCAGGGAGAGATGCCAATCAGGAAAGCTAAAAAGAAAAGAGACTTGTGGAACAATATGATCACCAAAGTTTATGGACATGACAGAGAGAGAGAGAGAGAGAGAGAGATTGATAGAGAGAGAGAGAGAGAGAGAGAGAGAGAGAGATTGATAGAGAGAGAGAGAGAGGGGAGGAGGATGTGCAGTTTATCTTGGATTAATTTTGTGACTTTTGTTAAAGATTATAAACTTCTTGCAATTTATCACTTACATCCTTATGATGCCAAAGTGAGAGTACATACATACACATGTACATTCCGTGATGTAGTACGTGCAATGATGTATGCTTCATGCATGATGGAATGGAATGGAGGGGGGGGGGGGTGTCGTATAGGCCCTGCAGGCTACCTGCTCCTTCCTTGAACTTCTGGATGGATGAAAAGAAACCCAAAAAACATTCAAATAGGCCAGATCCACTGACAACCAAAAAAATTGGGTCCTAATGGATGAACCAACCCGCTCGACTTTTTTGTCCAAATTTTTTTGTTTTTTAATAATTTTTAATTTGGGCCAAAATGATGATAAAACCTTGGGAATTTTTGTCCAAATTTTCAGGATTTTCTTTTTCTTCCAATTTTCATGAACTCTGTACCACTACCCTTGTTGGTTGTTGATAATTTAGGGTCACATTAACCCCCAATTTCAAATTACCAGGTATATCAATCATTTGAAATTGTAGCAAATGGCAATGACACATTTTCTATAGTACTATAATTATGTAGCTGACATATTTGACTTACATATACAAAGTTAACTTTTTAAATTAACATTAATTTTGAATCTGGACCTCAAGAAATATTATTTAAATGGGCCCCAAGCATACATACCCTGAAATTGCAATGTGAACATCTTTACCAAAAAGAAGTTCAGTTAATAGCCTTGCTTATTGTTCAACACATTTAAATGTTACTCATTTATTTTCTTTCTGTTTCCCTCTCTCACCTCCATCTCTCTCTCTCTCTCTCTCTCTCTCTTACACAGGGCATGGTTCTTTCCAACGATCACAAGAAAAAATGCAGAACTGCTCCTGATGCAGGAAAGGAACGGGGCATTCCTTGTACGAAGAAGTGAATCTTCAGAAGGCCTCTATTCATTATCAGTTAAGTAAGTACCCATTTCAGTTCTAAATTCTAAATGGTGGGAATGGTTGAAAAGTTGAAAGATAAATATATACATGTAAGTGCCCTCTTGCATAGAGAGTTACTTGAATAAGTTAAACTCATCTTCCTAGTACATGATCCTGATTGGTTGAAATCAATTTGCGTTTTAAGTTTTTTAGTTGCGTTTAAATACAACTTTTTTAAGCAAGAGGTCAAAGGTGTTTGAAACTGCTCATTTCTTTAAACGGCAACAACAACGTACATGATTGTAAGTCACACAAATATTTTTCTCCCTATCATGAGTTTTAAAAATCAATCTTGTATGTGTGAGTGTGACGATCCACTACATGTAAATAGAATAAACCCTTTAATAGTAATAATAATAATAATAAATTTATATAGCACAGCTTTTATACAAAATATATTCAGCTACGCTGGTTAAGAGCTCCTTTTTACTAAATTCTACAAAATAAGATCTCTCAGTTAAACAAATAAGTTTTTAATACTGAATGTTATGAGACATACTTTCCTTCAAATCATAGCATACCAGTACATGTACATGTAAGTTTGATTTATACCTTGAAATTTGGATTCCCACAACTTACAAGAAGAGATAAATTTTCATTGCAGGATACTTGCAAGAAACCAATCGTATAATTTTTTTGGTGTAAATATTTCCTTGTTTTCTTTCTATTCATATGAAGATCTTCTTAATAAATCTATCGATAGCCAGTTCTAAAAACAGAAACTTAAAAAAATACTCTGCATTCTGTCAACAGGGAAATAGAAAAATACTCCTGGTATATGTTTCCTCATCTGAGAAATGCTTGAAATAATGCTTCTACTCTATGATCATGTACAGTATTAATTTTCTTTCAACAACAAAATATGTTTATTTCAAATCTAGAGTTTGATATCATAAATCTGTTCTGACATCGAAATTAAATCCAACTCTTCTCTAGTCCTTGAGTGCCTGATTTATGGATGCTGCTACCCCCACAAATGTTATGATGATAGCCTCAATGATTACAGCCTGTTGTTTCTGGTCCCTGATGATATTTATTACAGAAATGATTAGGCCTGTCCTCATCAGCTCGAGATTGCCAAATATCAGGCTATTTTAACTATTCCAATCGCCAATTATCCAGTTAATTTGCGTCTTCATCAGCCCTAAGTTGCAATTAGCGGGATATTTGGCCGAGATAATCATCCCAAGATATATTGGGCTAGTTTGCAAAATATCCCGCTATTTGGCAAAATATCCCTATGCGTTTTCACCAGCCCGAAGACTCGCACTATGAGTGAACGCTAAGTAAAATATCTTGAGTTCATTTCTTGAGCTCAAGTTTCGAGTTTTGAGGTCGAGTCTCGAGCTGATGGAGACGCGATTTGTAACTTCGGGATTATTTCCCAAATCAGAAATACGGTAGCGAGCTGTTTGGCAATCTTGAGCTGATGAAAATAGCCCAAGTGAGTCTTCCTTCTCTCTGCTTTCAAATGCATACAAGGGGCATTATCTTATCTTTCGATTGGCTAATGATCTGTTGAGATCATAGGAAACTGATACAAAACTCGTAAAAGCGTTGTCTAAAGAATCCTCATAAGGAGCGTACAGACTAGAAAGCAACACGGTAAAAAGAAAACAAAATTTGAGGAGGTCAGTTGACAGACAGCTGGCCAATCATAAGTGCTCAATCAGGATAAGCCCCCACCCCCCCCCCCCTCCCTGTTATAAAATTTGTATGATGTGATGTACTAGAGCGACCCTGATTCTTCATTGAGTTAAAAAGGATGCTCAAACAGGCGTTTTCGCTATACGTTTCTTTATGACACTCAGACTAGGGAATAATTGATTACCAGTACTTATCGTAGAGCTCTGTGATGAATCCTGAAAAGTCTTTATGCAGGGTAATTAGATTAAAAAGTAGAAATCTATTAAGTCTTTGTAATTTGTTCCTACTAATGTAGTATACAAATAGGAATAAAAACAAGGAGATATTTTGTTTTTAATATTTCATCTACTAGTACAGTACTTATAAATTAATTGAAATGTCAACAATCGTTGTGATATTCTCTTATGGCCATTGAAATTCACGATTATTCTTTGAGAGCAAAATGTTCAATTTGTATCATTGAGCTGAGAGTGTAGACCATCCATTACCCTGCATATATTATCACAATTTGATTTGCAGATGGCATACAGAACTTTGTATTATTACTGGTTGTCTAAAGTGAAAGTTGTTGACCTTTCTCTCTTTTCTCCTTTTTTTCTTTCTCTCCTCTGTCTTTGTCTCTCTCTTTCTTGTTTCTCTCTTTGCTTACTGGTATTTCTTGTATTTTCCTTATAATCTTTAATTTAAAAAGAAAAACATTTTTGGGGGTTTGTTGGAAGTTTGAGAGGTAAAGTAATGGATGAATTTGTACTGTAAGAAATAATGATTCAAAATTCAACGACTTTTTATTCTTTTATAGTAAAATCGAATTTGTTTATAAAGTATGGAAACAGTAACACAATGCCTTGTTTATATATCCATGTCTATTTTGTTGTTCTCCCCATACTTGGCATTATATACAAGAAATTACAAATTAAATTACCTTTTGTTTAAATCAAATAAAAATAAAATAAATGTTCAGGCAGATCAATTTTGCAGTCCAACAGAAACTTGGGAGAAATGACTGATAGATCCATGAGACCGACGGACTGCCAGTCTAGTAGCCTGTCAGTCTTGTGGGCCGTCCATCAGCTGGGATGTCCTCTAGATACAGTCAAACCTGCTTTAGTGACCACCTGTATAGCAAGACCCCCTGTCTACAAAGACCACCTGTTTAGCAAGACCACATTTTTTGTTTCCCTTGAAAATGGTTTCTCATTGAAACACGTACTAAAGGAACCTTTACATAAAGACCACCTGCCTATAAAGACCACTGTTCTTGCCTCCCTTGGGTGGTCTTTATAGAAAGGTTTCACTGTACTTTGATTGATTGTGATGTGTTTTTCAACTACTTGGCAGGTACAATGAAAGTGTGCAGCACTTCAGAATCCTGCAGGACACGGCCGGTAAATTCCATCTATGGATAGTCAAGTTCCCTTCTCTCGATGCCTTAGTAGATTACTACAGAACAACGTCCGTCACAAGAGAAAACCAGGTAAGTAGTTGGAATACTGTAGTCTTATAACTCAAGGTATAGCCATGTATATTAAAGCCCATCTGCACTAGTTTGGCCAAGGGGGATTAGGCGTCCCTGCAAGGTCACTGACAGGTGCTTATCTCGTCAAATCAGCCCTCAATTAACATCAGGAAAAGGGGATCATGGGGGACCAATGGTCACCGATTAGGCATTGTTTGCTATATAGAGGGCGCAAGTAGCTGTAAGTAGTGCAGTGGGGCTTTAATACTGCTTTTCCCAAGGGCCCTGTCATTGTCGTAACACTAGCGATGCAAGATACTCATTCGATACATCTCTGGTCAGCAACTCATGTTGGTAAAACACATCATCTACAGTTGTAAGCGCCATGCAAGGATCAAACGCAGGACCTACAGGGTATTGCATGAAAATCAAGCACCTACACCAATTAATGCACATTGTACCACATAACCCCCACTTTTGTGCATAATTTTGAGACTCCGAAGATTCTTTCCAAGACTTTTATAGCAAAATCATAAATCAAATTTTAAAACAGAGCTTTTGGAACTTTTTTCATCCCATTGTTTTAGATGGTTGTACAAATTGGCAGTGTGCAGTACAGAACTAAATTTTAGAGATCTAATGTACATATACTTGTCAAACAACAAAGAAAAGAACAATCTGCAATTATATACAGGTCTATGAAAGTTTTATGAAAATCTGTGAATTTTGAAATTCTGCCAATCTTACAATATTGTTCTCTTTGTCATGTGAGACTTTTATAACACAAGATGTGTACAGCCCCGGTTTGTGCCAAGTGCTATTAAACAAAGATTTATCAAGAGTTGACGTATGATTCAAAGGTCATTGTTCACGCATTTTTCGTTATGTCAGCTACATGTAGGTTCTTGTTTTGATACGGAAGACAATTTAAGTTATTTGATTGTATCGTTTCCTGGAATCAACGAGGAAGCTCTTACATGCATGTTCAGTTCAAATCCAGATCAACGACTCTTTGCCATGCAGCTGTGTTACTTTCTTTATGACTCAGCTTAACCCTCTTTGCTTCGGAGGAATTCTTTCTTTGTAGAGCTGAACCCTGTATTTTGCATAAAGACAACATGGATATTGATAAAATCTTTAAAAAGTAAGATTTTGAAGTTTTCTCCTGCAATGTCGACATTGATGCTTTTTTAATTTTGTCATTATTCTTGGTTGAGAGTATATTCTCCTCGCAACGAATCCCATTGATTAAAAACTTACTCTCTAACAAAGTCAGTGGGTGGGCCTTCAAATGCTTCCTTTCATACAGACTTTAGGCGAGTGGTTTAAGCACTTGACTTGAATTCAAAGGTCGTGGCTCGATCCCGATACAGCACTAATGTCCTTTGGCAAGGCATTAATCTTTATTTGCCACCATCGGCCCAGGTGAGGTAAATGGGTACCTGGCAGGAATGAATTCCTTGAAATGCTGGAGCGCTGTAATGGCAGCTTAGCTAAAGCCGGGGTAATAATAAATGCGCCTCGGAATAGAATTTCTAGATAGACGGCGCTATAGAAATGCCTATTATTATTATTATTATTATTCCTCTTAGACCCCTGGGGTGAAGGCTGGGAACGTGATCACCCTGGTAGACATGCAGCGTATGGAACAGACCATGCAGACGTTCCCCCACCTTAAGATGCTCAAATCAGACGCAGGTGGAGAATTACCCATGGACAATGGCTATGCCCAGAAAGTTCCCAGCTACATCGGTAGCAATGGTAGCAGCAACGGACAGAGCGGGAGGCACTTCAACAACGGAGGCATGAACCCTCCGCCGCAGCCTGTACACAGCAACAGCTGGGATGTCAACTCGAGGCATTCCCAAAACAACATGATGGTAAGAATGGAGATGAATGCAAACCTGTGTATACATGTATGTGACACCATAAAGTGTCCAGTAGCCTGTTTGCTATTAAAGGAATCCGGTAACTTTGTCTCAGATCCTTTAAAAATTCTTGATTTAGCTCATGCTGCAATCATAATTATAAACCTTTAGGGCATACATGAATCCGATGACATTTACAAGCTGATCGCCTGTCTGATTTTAATATATTTACGAGTGGATATCAAAATCAAATTTTGCATTTTCTGAATGGTTTTCATAATACTACAGTCTATCAGGGAAAATGATATGGTAAAACTGGTCTCTCAGATTTAACATTGTTAAATGATGCCTTTAAGACACATTGAGGCAACCAAATATTCTTTTGGACATGCTTATAAAAATGGAATTTCCTCAGGTGATGATGCATAGTATTCTCTGTGCATACATTGTTTTTTCAAAGGTTAGACAAGTGTATTAGTGTGTTAGCAAATGTAATGTGCCATAGACTCTGTTACCCAAGATAGAAAAAAAGTGTACAGACGTAACTAGTTTGTAACGCCTGGATGTAGCATTGTAGCATACGTAGAAAATTGTCTAACCATGCCACATATTTCATCTAGCTCCACTTTCAAGCCATGGAAAATATTTAACAGATGTTTCAGGCAAAGGCCTGGTCTAGTAATGAGCTATATACATGTACATCTAGGTTCGTACTTAGTCCAGAGGTAGTCCAGACTTGGCAATCAGTTCTAGCTTAAAACTGAAATTCTAGTACTACATGTCAAATCAAATACTGACTCAGACACTGTCAAGAAATCATTATCACCATGTCATGACATACATGTACATGTAACATAGGATTCTTTTTATTAGGAATTCCTGTAAATGTCAGAGCATTTCCAGCCAAATTTGTTCAGGGTAGTATAAAGCAATGTGTCGATGACCAGATGATAAAAGCAGTTGAATAATGTTGTGACTGTTATTTCTTGTCTCGTCTCCTCAGCAATCTTCACCGAATGGTTGGGATTCCAGAAGAAAACAACCTGCAGGATGTGGAACGGTGAGAAAATCATCTCCCCCTCCCTCTCACTTTGTCCCCTTCCTGTCTCTCTCTTGCTCTATTACGTTCTCACGTACTCTTGTTCCCCCTATATTTATCCGTCTCTTTCCTCTTTTCTCTATTTCTATCTCTTTCTCTTTCATGTCTTTTCTCTTTCTATTTATACTTTATCACTTGTTCCCCCTTTATTTATCCGTCTCTTTCATCTTTTCGCTATTTCTATCTCTTTCTCTTTCATGTCTTTTCTGGTTCTATTACTTTCTCACTTGTTCCCCCTCTTTTTATCCGTCTCTTTCATCTTATCTCTATTTCTATCTCTTTCTCTTTCATGTCTTTTCTCTTTCTCACACTCCTCTCACTTTCATACCTCCCTTTCTCTTTCCTTTTTGTCATCTTAACATGTAATTATTTTCATACACTGTATCTTTCTATTTTTTGTTATTCATTCTATAATCTTCATTTCCCCTGCTGCCCTTTGTTATATCTTTCTCTCTATATTCAATCTTTTCTCATACTCCCTTATTTCAATAGTTACTTCCTTTTTCTACTTTCTTTGTGGCATTATGAATGTTGATACCAAAGAAAGTGGTTTTTGTTTTAATGTTGAATAGATCTGTAAGGATATGTGACTGTTCCTCACCAATTATTTGCACCCCCTCCCCCCCCCCCCCCGGTAGATGTATATGGCATGCAAGAGTGATTGAACTACAGTCAAACCTGCTTTAGTGACCACCTGTCTACGAAGACCACCTGTCTACAAATACCACATTTTTGTTTCCTCTTGAAAATGGTTCTCATTGAAACATGTACTATTATAAAAAGGAATTTGTCTACAAAGACCACCTGTCTATAAAGACCACTTTTTGTGTTTCCCTTTGGTGGTCACTATAGACAGGTTTGACTGTATATACAAATACAACCACCCGAGAGATTTCTTTTCATTTTGTTCTACTATCAATCCTCTGTAAATTCTACCGCAAACTCAAAGTTTTTCTCTTCTTATTCATGTTGATAGGATCATAGGCAGCAGAGACTACAAGCTCTTTACGACTTCGACCCAGAAGAGGAAGGCGAACTCTGTTTTCGCAAAGGGGACATCATCACCCTCATCGACAAGCCGACCAAAGACTGGTGGCGCGGCACGGTGGACGGACGCACAGGCATGCTCCCAGCTCCGTATGTCAAGGTCTTATAATAATAAATGCCATCTTTTCCTGCTCCTCGATCATCAATTCTTGGATGATTGAATTTGGGAAGAAAGAGACTAATATGACTGTGATGATTGTTGTCGATAGATGACGTTATCTTTGCGGCGCGGTGAACATGGAATCGGTTTGTTTGAACACGCCCATATGAGAGAACAGTGGATCGATCTGGCTGCGGATCGTTTTAACCCTATGGCCACCATGCCGTGAATGAATTCATTGAAACTTTTGGCTTGCGGTTTTACAACGAGAGGGTTTGATAAGTTGTGTTTCCATATTGTGTTGAATTGCAATGGTGTCGATGATCATGCCCTTTAACTATGTTTGATATGCCGATATGGACTGTTCAGAAATGCTACATGTATTTTAATGTGTTCACTTTTTACATGTATTATCAATCATGCATAGTTGAAGTATAAACAATAATGCCTTTTTTGTTTCCATCCAGTGATTTGAAGAACGTTAAAATAAAGAATCACGTAGGCGTGACTCAATGTTTTACAAATAGGTAGTAAAAATGGCAGTTTATTGCTGGTATCCTGGTTTTGTATACTGTATACATATTCCTGTTTTTGTCTGAGTCGCACAGTTAAGTGAAGTACCACGGTTATTTTATCACAGTTTTTTATTCTGATTGGTATAGACAGATGATTCTATTGAAAGAATATCAATACTGAAGAAAAAAGTGTCAAACGAAGCCCCATTGGTATATTTTTCAAAATAATGTTGTGCATATATAAACCTCGCATTAAAGAGTTATTAATTAAAAAGGTATTTAATGAAAAATACATCGCAGCTCAAAAGCCAAATACATGTACATGCCTTTGATGATTAATAGAGCATTTCAAAATACAATCGATATCTATTCATTGCAAATTCCCAATGAAAACCACAAATCTACATACAAAACACGTCCTTTCTTCCAAAAACAAATTAAAACAAAAACCTTCAGCAAAAAGTCAATGAAAATTAAATAAACTTTCTTCCAAGTGTATTAAAAGTGACCTCTTGAATATCACCTCGGAAGATATGAGTTTGAAAACAACAACTACATGTAGATTACCGATTTCCAGGTGGTAGGGAAGAAGAATTTAGTTGTTTGTCTCTCTTTTTTTAGGAAGAAGAATCATGGTTTGATGTCAAAAACGAAAGGATACAACCTTAATAACAGGAAATTAGGGGGAGGGGACGGGAGTACGATTCGTGCCAATTACATTTGAAGACAAGTTTGAGCAGAAATTAGGGGTCCAATATCCAAACAGGGAAATTGGCCGAGCCAAAAACAGTTTTCAAGGAGATAAGTTAGTTCCCCATTTATTGATAGCTTTGTGAGGTTTTTTTACCATTTTATGCTTGGCATACATGTCCGTTTGTGTAATACAGTTGATTTGGCTTAGAAAATGTTTATGTATTTCACACTTGTTGATATTTCATCTCTTGTATACAATCGTTATCTGATGCATCTGTTTCAGGCAGCGGATTCAAGGGAGAATGATATTTCTTCTGCCTTGCTTGTTGAACAGGAAGGCTGTATGTTGTGGGCTCTCTGCCAAAACCTGATTTAGTGAAAGGAAGTTTGAAGGTTGGCCGATTCTTTAAGCAGAGAGGCACTAGGGAGGGGTAGCTAGTCTGCTTTTTAGACATCCTTGCTGCCTTTTTTGTATTATTATTATAACATTCATGGTTGGATACATCTAGCCAAACTTTCATGACTACTTTAATAGCAACTCCTAGAAACAACCCTTTTTCACTATAAAAAAAACCCTCACTTCTGATCCATTATTAGAAATTATAACACATACGAGAATTGAGTACTGTAGACTTAAAAAAGAAAGTAGAAAGGTAAAAAAAATCAAATTATTAATATTATTATTTATTTTATTTGGGAGGGGAGTATTGCTAAACCCAACGCATTACAAAATAAAGTTAGATCTAATTACTTTCTGAAACTGAGATAGCGAGTAGAAGGCAATATTTTCCTAGACATACTATAAGAATAGAGATATTCTATTGGATTATGTAAATATAAAAAACACTGAATTTATGGAGATATTTTGTAAGACCACATATAATATCCTTGTCAACACCATTTGTATTATTGGACAGTCACAAAGTTGATATCGGCTTCATTACAACAAGAATATTCTCCCCTCATGATATATGCTGACATCAGTTTAAGGTAGCGAAGAGTCTAGGAAGTGCTGACTAGCTGACTATTGGAGAGTAGCCAAGTGAATGTTGTCTTTACGTTTAACAGGAGGAGGAGGAGCCGGAAGGGATGTGTAAAGACCCTTGATTTACTCTTAAAGATGAGATTGAGCTCTGCTGGTAGCAAGGGAAAATAAGCATCAAAATTTCTTTCAGAGGTTTTAAAGCCCCACTGCACTACTTGTACTGTAGCTACTTGCACCCTCTATATAGCAAACAATGCCTAATCGGTGCCTGTTGATCCTCTTTTTCTTATGTTAATTGAGAGCTGAGTTGATGAGCTAGCCACCTGTCAGTGATCACCCTGGGTGGTCTAATCCCTCCTAGCCAAACTAGTACAGACGGCCTTTAATGTGAAAGAACTTTCCATTTGAATCATGTACAATCAACTTGTCCAGTAACGCCTCCAAAGGGAAACACAAGAAGGGCCACTGTATTCAGGTGGCCTTTCTAGACAGGTTCCTCAACCAATGTTTCCTCCTTGGGGAGGTTATATAAATGACCACTATAGACAGGTGGCATTTATATGGAGGTGGCCGCTGAGACATTTGTTTAATACTGTACTTGTAGTATTTGATAAGCTTCAAGGCAACATGGATTATGGATGATTGAATACATGAAATATAAAATCTTGCCTTCATTTACATTCACATGACTGGCATTCAAACCCAATTATTACTTTGGTTGCTTTCTTGTTTGCCACACATGCAATTTTGCACAAAACAATAGGCACCGATTGACAGCAGGATTGCTCTGTGCAGCACAATGGCTTTGCAAAATTTCAACATTTCTGGGGGGCGTTTCATGAAACAATTAGTTGGTGGTTTTCACCGACTAATATCATTTTCACCAACAATTTAGTCAGCACTGACTAAATTTGACCAATTAAAGAGGCCTGGAAAATAGTCGGTGACAATAGAATTGTTGGTGAAAATGATAGTAGTCGGTGAAAACCACCGACTAATTGTTTCATGAAACGCCCCCCCCCCCCCCCCCCCCCCCCCCCCAATTTCAACATTTCTGGGGGGCGTTTCATGAAACAATTAGTTGGTGGTTTTCACCGACTAATATCATTTTCGCCAACAATGGTCTTGATTAGTTCCACGCCAAACCTTCTTTTAAACACAGTTATACATACAGAGTAATCTTGCACTTAAAACAAATAATCAAAGAGGCACGGGAGATCACGTGTGTCGCATATAAAGAGTTTTACAAATGTTGTACTCGCCATTATTACCCACAGTGTGATACTTGATATTCGCAATCATTATAACGTTGGCATAATTCAATGAAAACTGCACTTGTTTCGTTTGCCTGAATTCTTCTCTTTGCTCAACCTATACTATGTACATGTATCAGTTCAAACCGTTGCAATGTATTTGAAATGGGAATACACTTCAAAACTTCACCACCTATTTCTCTTTATGCACAATATTATTATATCAGTTAATCTGCATTTCTCAGTGTTCTGTCTGTCTGTCTGTGTGAATGCACCCGTGCAGAAGTCTTATTAGATATACTGTAAATATAAATTGTAATATGATAATCATACAGATTCATTTTATATTCATTGTAAATCATACAAATACAAGGTGCAAAAGGTTCATCTTTTCTTTATTCTTATTGCTATTATTATATTTTGGTAATATTGAGTCTGTATATATCTTAAAATGTAAATAGACACACATATTGGTTGTCCATGCAGCTTGCATAAGTATTTTCTCCTATAACATGATGCATTTATCAGTTTAAAAAAAAAGGTATATGTGAGCTGAAAATGATTTGAACATGGAAAGTTAGAAAAGAACCCTAGACAAAAACAACAACTGAGGTTCATGCAAAAACAGCTACATGTATACACAGATATATAGTTTGGCTTTCATAATATCACACTTCTTTAAGATAGGGCCTATAAATTCATATGAATTATTAGAGAGATATAACAGCAAATAGAATGTAATTGTGCATATACAACCATCATTGCAGTTGTTTATAATTATATTAAAGTTCCTGAGAGTTGGGTATTGCTAAGCTGAACTTATATTGATACATCTGTATGTACATGTATATCGAAAATATATCGAAAGTATTTGTTTATATACATGTATGTCTGCACAGTTCATCTCAAAGTATGTCGAGAGTCAGGTGATAATCATCTATCACAGCTAATGACGGAGAAATGCCTAAGTACAATAATCAATCATCACATCCTCTACATCGTATTATTTATACCAGCTTACATCATTCTGTATTTGTTTCTTGCCATTTTATTTCAGGTTCAACTGTGCTAGCTGTTGGGACTCATTAATTTATTTTCCTGTGTTTATTTTCCAACCGGTATATGGTATTAACACATGTCTAGTTCTTGCCAAATATTTTTGTTTCATCGTTTGTTTTTGTTTATGTAAAGTATTTTTCTGTCTCCTTTATCTTTTTTGCTGCTATTGACATGTAGTATTGGAAGTACAGTTAACATGTATGTCGTATTTCAGGCCATACATGAACAGTGGTACGAGTCATAGTACAGAACTGCAATATGATCATGTTCATATTTAACAAATTTTATTTAAAAAAGTTTCCTTTATGTCTACTGCATTAAAATGACTAAAATTTTATATAGGGAACTCACAAACTTCAGATCTTTTTTCCACCTCAAATGCTTTCATGCAGGAGAAATATTTTGCAGGAGCTTAACTTTTGAATATTTTGGTGTTTTTATTCAAATATTCAAGAAGTATTCTAACGTATTGTACATTGGCTTGCCTTTGCCTTCAGCATTGCACAATTCCTATATGTTGGTGTCCTTGTATGTAAAGCTACCCAATACTGCACAAGACATATCTTCCTCAGTATTATCACAGAACAGCAACATAGTATCTTAACGTTCAGAGCTTTCAAGGAAAATTCTTCATTTTTTCTTTATTAATTTGCCAAATTAAGTAAATGTGTTTGTCAGTTTTCTAATTGTACCCTATCAAAAATTTATTATTTTTTAGTTCTTGCCAGCAACAGATAAATCCCTGTATTTTCCTGCAACCTTTGCTGTTCGATTCAGCTACTCTTTGAAATACTATATGTTGATGTTAAAATGCTTATTGCACTGCATCCATTTTAAAGGGAAAATCCTTTTTTTTTAAAGTGCCATTGAATGAATATACTCTTTATGCCTGTATTTCTGCCGAAGATTGGACTGTATTTAGAGATGGTGTCTGTAAGATTATGTTCTAGCCAAGGTTTTGACTCGAATTGCATTTTTCACTTGTTATCGACCCAGTTTATTTTCACCCTAAAAATGCTGAGCAAATGAGCGAAAGGTCATTTGAATCGGATTCGCAATACACAAAGACATGATAAATTTGGGATAGCAACATGTTTTGTTGGAAACAGAAATAAAATTGAATTGAATTGAATTGAATTGAATTTTTTTTTATATTTAAGGATTTAAATGCACCCCAAAAAAAAAAAAAAAGTTTCGGCTATTGCTATTATAGGTAAAATGAAACGTTTAGATTATGTTATAATAATAATAATAATAATAATAATATGTCTTGTTTACCCAGGGTAGCCTCATCAGTATTCATACTGTTCTCCCTGAGGGCCCTGCAATCATATTATTGCCAAATTAATGCCTGTTGTTACATGGTTATTGAATTATTATGTTGATATGAAGTGGCAAACTTCATCTTTTAAAAATCTTTTTTTTCCCCCTTCATTTTGTTTACTTGATGGGCATTAGCATTAAGCAGTACATTGTTTGAGAGTATGTGTCCTCTGACAACGAGAATTTAGAATTTATTGAAATAACATCGTCACATTGTATCAACGCATATTTTTTCAAAAATGACAAGTTTCACATTATACTGATAATATCTTCAGCATTCATCACTTGCTTCATATCATGAAAATTATAGAATGTTTTTCTGGCACGAATCTGCAAATCATGCTTCTTTGAGAATAATGTCATCGAATTAAGCTTTCCACAATATGTGTCTAAACAGTGCCAGCAATACAGTCGCACTTTAAGGGGTTCTATGTGTGTCGTTAACTTTCCTTACTTTGTGAAAAATCAGAGGAAATTCTAACAGATCATGAATGCATGTCTGCATGAGTTTGTTCAACATGTATACCTATTATCAATTATTACTCCATTATCAGACTTTTAATTAGGGTATGTTTTTCTCTTTTCAAAAAGTATAATTATCACAATCAATATTTTGTAACGATATCATACTTTCCAAGCTGTGTATCATATTGTGACGATCATGTACCTTGTAAAACTGTATAAATTTGTATTACATGTGCAACTCATGTTTTATTTAAAAAGAAATAAAATGATATAAACAATGCTCAAGACAGCCTGTGTTTTTTCTTCTTTTTATTGTATTGAGCTACTAATCTTTCATCTGTCAATTCTTTTTGTTTCTCTTTTCAAATTGGTTCATGATCCTTTTAAAAATGCTTTATCAATAAACATGTTTTCTTTATAACTCTTCTGCATCATGTTATTAATAAAAAATATCATATGTTCCATCTTCTACTTTTTTTCCTTTCACTTGTTATATGATACATCATCCTTCACCTATTAGAAGAAGAAAAAAAAACCCAGACAAACAGACAAACAAACCTGTAGCTTAAAGCCCTGCTGTCCTACTTGTAGCTACTTGCTCCCTCTATATAGAAAACTTCCCCAATCGGTGCCTGTTGATCCCCCATGATCCTCTTTTTCTTATGTTAGTTGAGAGCGGAGTTAATGAGATAGCCACCTGTCAGTGACCTTGCTGTGTGGTCTAATCCCTTCTGGCCAAGTAGTATTGACGGTCTTTAATAATTTGGCAAACTGTACCCATCTGAATATCATTTCATTTCATTTACATGTAGTTT